CGGTCGCCTTTGCTTCCAGTTGGGGCTCGTCAGTCATAGTAACGTGAGCCCGCACAGTGCTTGTATCGGTCGACATCAATACTACAGTCGGAACTACGGCCGCCACTTGTACACGGCCATACTCTTTTCTAGAATCAGAACACTGAAAGGTATTCCTGTCAGGGGGGCTGCTCTTGGGAATCAATAAGGGTTCCGGCATCGAATAGACGCCGTTTATTCTGTTCTCGGTGCCTTTATACACTGTGTCTTTCATCTTCCATTATATCACAGCGAGAACAATGGTTTGTCTGGTCATGTAAAGACCAACCACAAGATTGAGAATTTGCTACATGTATTCAGGCGGCCGGGACTTTCATATGTGTGGAGAGCATCTGCAACGTAAGAATCATGTGAAATTCGATGTTTCAGCAAAAGATTGGCTGCACGCACAAAAGGAGGGAACTATTCCTTCACCATCATCATTTATACATTGAAGACAACATTCACTTCACACAAGAGCAAGGGTATTCTTCAAGGCGTGCGAGTTTGAGAGACAATCTCAGATTACATTCATTCCGCCCGTTAATTCAAGAGTAGCTAAGAAACGAGACCCCCGCATAAACCCCTCGTCGACGGATGCTCATATCCGGCTGACCTTCCACCCCCCGGAAACCCGATACTGAAAAAAGCCATTCGGATCGTACTTCGCAGCCGCATCCTTCAAAAATTGTACATTCTCTGCACCATACGATCCAATGACGTCTTGTTCTGGGTTGGCATAGTTCATGTATAGAAAGGTCGAGTGGCCTTCAAATGAAGCTGAGTATGCTCTGAGTTCCTCGATAGCCCTACCCATCATACTCTCAACAACGCCTCCATACTCTGCATCAGTAGCTGCTAGGGTGCCTCTAGCCTCAAAGAGAATTGAGTCCGAGGGTAGGTTCTCGTCGAAGCCTAGTATGTTGTTACCGGGCGTGACGGCGGCGAGGTTCTTCGGGAGGGGTTGAAAAACAAAATTGACGGAAACTGGAACACTGGTGGCATCGAACTCTTGTGTCAAAGCCACGAAGATTTCGGCAGCTTTGTTCATGATTTCCGCAGTGGCTTGAAGGGACAGAGAGAAAGGGATGTAATGCGATCCACCGGTGTCGGCAATGGTCGCCGCAATCTTACTGAGAGGTTGCTTAGATCTCACGTCCCTTGTCAGAGTAATGTCATTGAAAGGGGCAAAAGTAGTCGAGTTCTCGTTGCCATCAGTGCTGACTGCCATGGCCATCACAGCCAGGTTGCCGGCGTCGGACCGATAGACGACAAACTCGTGGTCGGGACTGCCGGAACCGATTGAGCTGGCATAGCTGACAAACTGGTCAATCACGACATTCAAGTCGCTCCAGGACGCAAAGAGTAGGCCACCATAGGCGCCAGTAGGGGGTACGGTGAAGGTTCTGAGGTCGAAACGAGTGACAATGCCCAAGTTGCTTCCGCCTCCCTTCAAAGCCTTGAAGAGATCTGTGTTCTCCTCTGTATTAGCCTCGATTATCGATCCATCAGCGAGGACGACCTCATAGCCGACTACATTGTCGCATGAAAAGCCATAAAGCTGCGTGTGGTAAGAAGCGCCGCCAGACACGAGCAGGCCACCAACGCCGACGTGGCCAGATCGTCCACCTGTAACTCCTAAATTGTATGGCTCGAGGTAGGTCATGACATTTCCCCAACGGGCAGCAGGGCGGATCTGTACGATATTCTTCCCGGTATTAGCTCGTCATTCTACAAAATCACGACAGAATTTTACTTACCTTGGTCAGGACGCTTCGGCCTATCCAATCAGCAGTACCATTGAAACAACTGCTCTTGACAAGCTCAGTAGAGTTGAAAAATGTGAGATCGATAGTGACACCTCGGTGAGCAGCGTTGTTGTCGTAATCACTATGACCACCAGAGCGAATAGCTACGTCCCAGTTCCCGGCACCGCTCACGCCACCCAGAGCCTTGATGGTGGAGGAAACATGCTCGGTCGAGCGCGGCTGAACGATACAGTAGGGTCGAAGTCGACGATTCTCTGACGAATAGTATGTCGAGGTACTCTCAGCGTAGGCGATGTCGGTCGGAAAGACGAGAATATCCCCAAGCCCGGCATCAAAGAGGGCATCGCACTTTCAGTTTCAATCAGTGTCCGACATGCAAAGCAAGGCGCTGCAGATCCGTTGCAACCGAGAGCAGAGATACCCCGTCAATAAGAGAACTTACAGCTTTGAACCCAGATGATGTGGTGTTTAGCTGAGCTAAGGCTTGGTCGAAGAGGCCCAGTAAGGCAGCTATGCCAAGATACTTCTTGAGAACCATGGGGGACAAATGAATGTCTCGGGTGAAAAACACCCAAAGAAAGTGAGGGAGAGTGTGGTCTGGTGCTAATACTACGGCCTTCTCTGTGGTAAGAACGCCGGGCCGCGAGTCTTTATTTACTTGAAGCATGCCCAATAACAGTTAGGGATGCATCCGCCTTACTTCGTCAGTAATCTCTCCATTCTCCAGGCCTGAAATCCGCTTTGCGATATGTATGTGCAGAAACACCGCAGGCCGTTGGCATCGAAGCCACCGAAGCCACCAGTCAGACATCGGGACCAATACGCGGCACGGAGGATATCACAAAATAGGTCTTTAGACCATCGTTCCGGATAAGCTCAACTCATCATCCACCAGTCCCTGGAGTCCCTGGAACAGCTCGGTCTCGCATCTTCAGTTCTTTGGTCAATGGTATCTTTATTCGGGGCGTACATGCGGCACAGCGTAGAAATCCTCGATTGGTTCTTTAGCGATTATGAAACGCAATGTCGCTTGTATGCAGCGGGATGACTTCAGGTCTTTACGAATTTCTGCCAAGGCGGAACGTACCCAGGACCCTGGAGGCGGATGAATACTGCAGTTTTTCGTTGGTCGAAGACCGTAGCAGACCAAGCTGCGCCGCAACGGCGCATACAATTACGGATGCCTCCTCGGACTTTGCTTGATATGGCTTTTATGCGGACCTTGCCAAGAGACCCTACAAGGGTCGGCTCATAGCTCCGCAATGCCCGGCCAAGATTAAGATCACGATATGACTCGGTCTACAGGATGAGGTCCTAGGAGTAGATCTTGGTAAGCAACTCCGCATGCACTCTAGAGAGCCTGCGCAATAGCTTGCGGACGGGCATCCTGGCCTACTTAACTTCCTACCATGGTCCAAATCTGGGTCAGACTTCCTGAGACAGACCTCCGCTTCGGACTCACGATGGGCTTTGGGAGAATCTCGGTGGTCTAAACGACCTGCTCAGATCTCCATCTGCTCGCTGTGGTCATGGCGTGGGCCAACAGCGATCTCTCGGTGCTTGTCCATGCAACCACATGGGTGGTAAGTCAAATTTGCTAAACTGAGGGTCCGAGGTAGCTTGCTTTGAGTTGAACACCTATTCTGACAAACTTCTCGATCTTTAGATGCTCTTCCTATCGACTGTCTTCCTCGCCCTCCGAGTCTACAGTCGGCTTCGAAATACCGGAATTGGGCTCCAAACAGACGACTGGGTGCTCGTTGCAGGATGGTTCTTCTTGCTTCTAGCGTCAGCAAACGTGTCCTGGTTGATGGCTGTGTTTCTTATTCGAGGAAACCTGCTGAAGATCACTATTGCCCGAACGCACCATAACCTTCAATCTGTCGCTCTAGGGCTGACGAAGACATCGTTTGGAATCACACTGTTGCGGTTGATGCCCGGGGGTTGGGAAGCAAAGCTCATATGGGGCGTTATCATTACGATGAACCTGCAATTTGCGATACATATCATCGCAACATGGCAGGCTATCTGCGGTGCACCAGACCTAGGACATATCGGAGGGGATAGGTGCTGGCGATTAGACCAGTCGGTAGCTTTCACTGTCTTCAGTGCATGTGAGTTATCACCATGTCTGGCAGTGGTATCCGTTTCTGATCTGTCTACTGCAGTATACTCGGCGATTTGCGACATTGCTCTTGCTCTTTTACCATGGAAGATGATCTTCAACCTACAAATGAAACAGTCAGAGAGAATAAGTGTGGCCGTGGCTTTAAGTATGGGGATCCTAGCAGGTGTTACAGGGGCTATGAAAGCTGTCCAGGGCTACATGCTGATCAACGTGAGATCTCCTGATTGTAAGTGGTTCATATCGTTTTGAAAACTAGCATGCGCTAACGTCAATTACTTTGCCAGATCTATACAACCAAGCAGTCTACTGGGTATGGTCTATGGCAGAACCGAACGTCACTATTATCTCAGCATCCATACCAGTTCTCCGTGGTTTCGTCCGCCAGGTCCGGAAACGAACAGAGTCCTCGCCGGGAGCTGGAGCATACGTCAAGACAGGGGATACAAGCGGAAGATTTTATAATCGGAGTACTGTGACGGCGACAAGAGCAGAGCCGAGAGATCAGGATGCTTCGAGTGACAGCAGCATACTGGTTTCGGGCCAGCAAGGAAGCAATGCTAGTGGAAGAGGCGGTATCACATGGACTACTGAGGTGAGCGTTGAATACACACCTCGACCTCAAACCGGACATCACAATGGATCCATAGAGACAGACATTTCAAAGAGCGTAGGCGAGTTCGAGATGAAGCCTATAGATCGCCGGAAAGGCAGCACATAGCCTTGATGTGTAATTCTGTTTTATTATCCTTGAGTGTATGTCACAAAGGTTGCCGCATCAAAACAGGATAGTACATCTTGTATGCTGAAGCCGACCAGACCTAATAAGGTACCCAGACCCTTCTGAAATGGTTCAAGCTTTCAATTATTTCTGAATGTGTCTATTTGTGACAAAATCGAGACGAATTACTGAATCACTCGAGCGGGTCGTATGGGCTCTGAACTTTTTGATTATGCATTATCTGAGCGCTGTTCTAAGCTTTGACTTGGCCGTCGACCAGAGTTCTTGAATTGCTGGCAGTAGTGGAATTCGTTTGCGATGAGTCGGTGTTGTATCGCAGGCTATCCATCGATCTAGGCTGGTCGATCTAAGGAGGGCAAGGGACAACGATGGTCTTCCAGGCCGGGATGGAGTCGGGGTTGGGGATGCCGTTCATGGCGGCGATGATGTTGGCGGTGGAACCGAAGTCGGCAGCGATCTCGTTGAGGGTGTCGCCCTCGACAATCCAGTACCAGCCGCGGCCGGGGTGGGATCTGTCGCGTCTGCAATCGCGCTTGGGCTTGTCGGCAGCCATGGCGACGGCCGAGAGGGCAACGACGAGAATAGAGGCGGCGTGCATTTTGGAATTGGGTTTACAGGCTGGTAAAGACTGGCTAGTTGTTGTAAAGAGCGTATAGGTTGAGTGTGGTGGAATAGTAATCGCAAAATCAAGCTGCCTTTAGATGTATTAAGTATTCAAAGACCGGGAGAATCGGGTTTCATACAGAATGGTTACCCGGTGTCATGACTATCGGTAATATCCTCCTTGCTCTCGCCTCATAAGCGCATGACTTGTGCAGCGCCTCGGTTTCCCAAGAACAGGCTGTTTTTGCCCTGTACGAGTCAAGCTCACGACGATCGCATTCTTTTTAGACCACCACACGAACCATCTTATCAAACTCTATCTGCGAACTGTTGGTCAAACTGCCAGCAACACGGACACTTTTTACCAGCTTCAAGGTTACGGCTAGCAGTCTTCATCTAGGATATAGTACTCTAGGACTCACGCGTCAGGGGAATGGAGACGGTAGAACCACAACCATAGAACTCTAAGAAAGAAGTTAACGGGCTTGTCCGTGTCGATCATTCACCGCAGCTACCGGTTCTCCCGGGGAACTCAAAGAGTTTCGGGTAGTGCCTATGCCCTTCACCTTTTTGTCAATCGCGCAAACTCAATGTGGGCATTTAGGTATAGAGAAATTGCGAAAATTGGTCAACCTCGCCTGTTGCGAATCCGACTTAGTATCCGTACTCTACTTTGAGATCTAATGTCCAACATACCGTTGGGGAACGAGCACTTGCATTGCCTGGATACTCGATCCGGGAAACGAGGCAGCGGACTATCTTGTCATGGTTTTCGAGAATGCAAGTCTAGTTTCTACCAAGCAGCAACAGTTCGAACCTGTCCAGGCATTTGTTTCTTGGTCACGCAAGGCAGTCTGCTATAGAACAATTATCCATCGGTAACTTCAGACAGAAATACGAGTACAGAGCTCGTATAGAGGATGCCGAACATTCGTACGGAGTACTGGAGGTTTCAGAAGGATGAGCGGCCCGAACCTTGCGATTTGTTGTCGTGGTGGGGCGGTTGCGAAAGTTAGCTACGACGACTGCCGCAGGAAACTCTTGAGGTTTCAAGTCTCGAGCCTATCCAAATTGTCGTCTATTGGTATGGTTAAATATTGCAAAGCAAATTCAGCTCATGGGAGAAAACAAGTGTCAAAAAGCCAAAGGCGCTCACTGGAGATAACTAGGCCAGTAAGTCTTTACTATACTAAGATAGAAAGGTGCACAGAGGGCAGCCACGAAACTGATAGTTTGTTTGTTATGGGGCATATATCTTTATTCGTTATATCCCATGTCATAAATCTAAAATGTACATGATCCAATCTAGTATCCCCGTCCGATGCCCATTACTCCGATTACTACATTAGGTATGGTATAGGTAGTTTACATGCAGGCGGCACCGTCGATGCCGAGGACCTTTCCGTTAATCCACTCGCCGTCCTGGGAAGCCAGGAAGCAGACGACACGGGCAATATCGATCGGGAGACCGACACGGTGCATGGGAGACCAGCCGGCGGCGTACTCATCGACACCTTCGTCGTCGAGCTCAGTGCCACCAGGGATGTACTCGCGGCAGACATCACTGAATGGTAGGTTAGCTTCTTGATCTGTGAGGCAACTAAGTTGAAGTTTGCACTTACCGGTACATGTCGGTCTTGATACCACCGGGGGCAACAGCGTTGACGGTGATCTTCTTGTCACCGAAGTCGATAGCCATGCAGCGGACGAAGGTCTCAATGGTTCCCTTGGAACCAGAGTAGACGGCGTGCTTGGGGACACCCTTGGCCTGGCCAGTGATGGAACCCATGAGGATGACACGGCCGCCGACCTCGAGGTTCTTGTAGGCCTCGCGGGCAACGAAGAACTGGCCACGGGTGTTGATGGAGAAGACGCGGTCGAACTCCTCGGGGGTGACATCCTTGACGTGGCCGAAGGAGACGACACCAGAGTTGGAGCAGACAATGTGGAGCTTGCCGAAGATCTTCTTGGCCTCGGCGAACATGGAGACGATCTGGTCAACGTCGGAAACGTTGGCCTTGATGGAAGCGGCGTCGGAGCCGGACTTCTTGATGGCCTGGACGACCTCCTCGGCGGTCTCGGCGCTGTTGGCGTAGTTGACGATGACCTTGGCACCGCGACGTCCGAGCTCAAGGGCCATCTCACGACCAATACCACGGCCTAGATAGTGTTTGTGTTAGTTGAGTTTCGAGATCAGACGAACAGACCACCCTAATAATGCACCCCAGGAAGCTTGCTGGTTGTCGGTTGCAGCTCTCCCGAGGGCGAGCTTCTCATGAGGAGAGACAGGAAGGGAAGCATTGGATGATGGGATGTCACGTACCGGCACCGGTCACGAGAGCGACCTTGCCCTCGAGGGAAGCAGAGGCCAAACCCAGGGGGCCGGGAATGGCATCGTACTTGGAACCGGTAGACTGAGAAGTAACGCCAGGCATTTTGAATATGGTTAATGTGGTGTTAACTAGAGAGAGGTGGTGATGGTGTGTTGGTCAAGAGGGTTGGATCGTCGAGATACCGAGGAGTTGATCGATTGGTTAAGTGAGTGATTGAGTTCTGCTGGATTGTTTCGAAAAAGAGATGTATCGAGGCTGGCATTCCAGGTTCTTAAATATGACATTTCAATCTCAACAAACGTCTCCTTTACAACTCCATTGTTTCTATTTACTCGCTTTCCCCTCCTAGACAACCGGCTCACCTGAGGCGGTTCGTGGCGCGCCCGGACGCCCGTGGAGAGACCGCCGGACATGGACGTGCGCCTCCGGACGTCCGTGAAACGAGACGGTTCAAAGGTCTTGGGAGCGCGGGTGCTGCTGCTAGTTAGTTTCCCAACGCTGCACATCGCTTCCCGCACCAAAAAGCGAGAGCCGAACAGAGTTAACGTAACGCCACAAGGCCCCAGAGAGTGTCCATCCCTATTCTTTTTTTGGGCTGATCTTTGCCCTTCATTGTACGTCCCTGAACTAGCGCTTGGTTGACCGGTCCCTTGGCGCGCCTGGGTTCTACCACACCATGGTTCAACCCACACGACCGAAGCGCTATCACGCCCGTTGCTCTCCACCCCTTATTGCTACCTCAGTTCTAGTTGCCCAGGAATATTAGATAGAACATTGAAGTCGTTGAGACCGCCCGGACCGAGCCCCGGCCGTGAGCCAAGGCGGCATGTCCCACCGCCACGGATCCCTTTGCTCGCACACATGTACGCATGGGTACATACCCGCAGAGGCATCATTGGTTTCCCTATGAGCCTGGTCAAAGTTGCTGGCCCTCGCCTTTGTCTTCGGCGCGAATTCCTCTGGTGGCCCGTGGCTGGCTGGCCGTGAGGATCATCCTACAGGACTTGCCCACTACGTACGTGTACTCGCTCTATTCTCGCTATTCGGACGACATCCAGCTCGCCGATGCGCACTGATTCCCATGTGCCCCGCAGGGCTTTCGGATGCGATGGTGTTGGAGACAATAGGATTCGGTGGTCTTCCCCCGGGCATGGGGGCCGCACTCTCCACATCCCGGCCACGGATCATCACCGTCGTCACCAGAAGGAAGTGCTGCCACCTCGGTTGAGAGGGTTGCCAGTCAACCATAGGTTATGGCGCCGCCACGAGTCTCGAAGACCGTCTGAGAGGATTCTCAACGCCGTCCGAGAGGATCAATGCTGCACCTCCATACTCGGGATCGCTTACGTTGACGATGTGTTGCGACGATTTTTTTGAAGTTTTCTTGAACCGGGCTATTGTGCAAACCCGCTCGCCGTCGCCGTTTTACAATCAACGGCAATGTTTGCTCGGCGTTCTCGTGAGTTTGTAGACCCACGAGGTTTTACTCCTTCACACTTTGTACGTGTCATGATGTTTCCATCGTCTGATGTCAAGCCTCTTCAAAATAGAACCTCTCACTTGGCGAATTCGCAGATTGCGTTTGCGGGTGCAAAGGTTCCGGAGAGCTGGTACCCACAAGCTCCGGGGGGGCTCATCACTTGAGACACGGCAATCGGTACCGATTCTCACCACTGTGACGGGCTCAATGGAGGGGTCAGATTGAATCGGCAATCACCGTGAGACAACCTGCAAGAGTCGCGGCTGGAAAGGCTCTACCGGCTCAAGTTGCTCAAGCCCGGATCCGGAGTAGGGCCCTCCCCAACGAAGCCAGAGTTATGCCTCGGAATCGGTCGAGTGTTGGGTGATGCGGTCTCGGAGGCCCGACGAACTTAAGCCACGCCGGGCCAGTCAGTGAACTATGTGTGATAGTGTGACTGCGAAGCCGTGAGGCCCCCTCCATTGATCATGGCCCGGCCCGGAAGTCTCGAACTAATGGCTGCGTTACCTCCGCGCTGGGTCTTCGAGAATACGGCATCCGCCGGGAGATCCTCGCCAGGCCGCCCTCCTCCTCCCTCATCCGAGAAATTGCCTTTTCTGGTAATTTCATCGGGCTTGACCCCCGGTACTTTTCGCATGGCTCGTAACATCACGACGATCTTCGGGCTGATTACACAATATGGCAACAGTTTCCGCGTGGTGTTCAGTAGTTTCGTTTCGCGGGGTTGATTACCACTCCCCACTGATCCAAGATGTTTCCAGCCTTCTAGACGATCAGGAACCAACCAGGGCTATTCCTAATACACTGATGGCAAGCGAATAATCCGTCTGACAGTATGATGGCGATCGAAGGGGTTGCGAGACACATTGAAGAGCATTCGTTGCCCCCCTCTACAAGAAACGTTCTGCGATCATCTTTCCCATCGAAGTATACCTGGTGGCAAAAGCCAGCTCGAAAAGCGAGAGAGTTTAGAGAATCTGACACCGCCCAGCGAGCCGTGCAGTCACGATCACGTTCATGGTGTAGCCAACACAGGCAGCGCAGCACCGAGGCTCCGGACCGTGGCGGTCAGCAAGACTCCTTCATGAGCCCACCTTCCATCCTGCTTCCTTCCCGACCCTCCTTCTTCTCGGATATCGCCATCTCACTTATGGGGCAGTACAGCCTTTTCCAATGAGTGAGAAATTAGACTCTACGGAGAAGCGCGGACACGAGTTGGCAACGGGCTTGTTGGGCAAAGTATGCGGTTACGTGTCCGAACCCATCTCATTCCCGATCAAATGGCCGGGTTGCGATGCGACTCTGCCCCCAAAAATCCGGTGCTGTAGTTACGGGTTCGTCTCGTTCATTGACTTTAAGTCTCGCTTCTTTGCCTCATAACGTCAATCGCAACACCTCAGTGCACTCAAACTTTTCGATGGGGTTTCCTTATCTATCGCAGGCTGTCAACAGTGAGCCGATGCAGTACTACAGACAGTAGTGAATCCGAATCCGCATTCTCGGGAATTGGTGTCTTGGTGGAATCCTGTCATCCTGTCAGCAATAGCCCACCCGATCGGGGTTGCTACCATGACAAACCTACGTCGCTCACTTTCGTATTTTTAGCTTTGGAGAATTGCTTTGAGAAGCCGACATGGGCTTATCTCACTCTCATTCTCAGCTGAGCGACCAAGAACTCCGCAGGTGATCCTTCAGGAAATAGTGCAAAGCCTCAGCCTCCCAACCACCACCAACACCAACACCACCAAGTTCCAACAAGACATGCACCAACCGACGCTGCATCTAATTTCCTAACCAACAGAACTACCTTGCCGCAGATGCACTCATCAAGAGTTTCATCTTGCCACCAACGGCCCTCCCGTTTGATCATTGTTTGCACAATTGCTCTCTTGTGCGTCCCTGACCTGTCTCATGAGATCATGCGGCACACAAGTAGCACGCACCAACAGCAAGATTATCGTGGCCCCTAGGCCCTCCAAGTCTCGATTTTATTGCCTCCGAGGTCGTACACGCCCAAAGAAGGTTGTATGCAAAAGATTCCAAAGAATCACACAGCATATGCAGATCAATTCCAATACGTAGAAGACTGGCACAGCCTGCTTGAAAACACCGCAACCATCAACCTTCAGGTGATAGAGAAGAGGCTGTCGCCCAGCTCCAGATGCCAAGAGAAGCCAGGCTTCCTGGCTTTGTGCCCCCAAAGGAGGGAGGCTGTGGAGACCCGCAAGGGCGAAATTTGGCTGTATCCTCCCATCGCCCTCTCACACTCCCCTTGCAAAAATAAGACAAATATTTGTCTACCTGCAGAAGAAAGACGAGGTTTCCAAGGCTGCTTGCAGGTACTTCGGCAGAAAAGCCCCGTCTTAGTCCGACATGTCGAATGATGATGCCTGGTCGAGTCGGCGATCAGCATGATGCAGGCTTAGAGCCGTTGGTCACGCCTTTTGGCAGCGGGCCTTCCCTCAAATTTTACGCTTATGAGCTTATATACATCTTATACCTATGTCTTAAGTAGCATTACCATGTGCTCCTGTCAAATCTCCTCAAAATCACCTGCTGTTGTTTCTCATATACCATACAAGCTTGGCCTCAAGCCGTGAACCTCGAAAGTGAACCAAGCTTCCAAACTTGGGCATATACAGCTTCACGTCCACCAACCTTCTACAATGGCGGTAGCCAGCTTAGGCCTAAGCTGTCCCAAAGGCGGCGACTTTTACATCTGTGAAGGGAGCAAGGTCGAATTCCTGGGCTGCTGCGCGACAAACCCCTGCGCCGACGGCAGCGGAAAGTGTCCAACAAAGGACCGAAGGATATCGGCCTTCAACCCAGACCGCTACGCCAACATACCAGCCCAGGGCTGCGACGATGCCAGACCACCGAGCGAGATCTTCTGGACGTGCACAAACGACATCTCCTTCATCGGATGCTGCGCGACGAACCCGTGTCAGGAACCCGATGGATTATGCCCGCAGACGAATCTTATATCGGCGACGCTGAGTTCGAATGCCAGCTCGAGGGCAGTGTTCCTACCGGATGAGTCCGTGACACCCACGCCGTCGGCATCGGCATCGTCTACAGCAACGCCGGCTCCGAGTGGGTCGCCCTCTGGAGGTGGTGGTGGAGGTCTGGGAACGGGGGCCATTGTCGGCATCGCGATTGGTGCTGCGGTGGCTCTTGGTATCATTGTTGCGATCATCTGGAGATGCGGATGGCACGCCAGAAAGCGCAACGAAAGACGTGAGCCGCCGGCGTGGGAGCCGTCCGCCGCCCAGAGCCCTCACCCGAGCCAACATCCTGAGATGGGATATGCACCACACAGCCCTAACCCGTATGATCCAGCCCATGGTAAGTCTTCGCCACATCCACCAATTCAGATTCAGATCGAGACTGACATGTTCCATAGCGTCGTACGCGACGACAGCCGTCCCCGAGTCTTACGCCTCTTCGTCACCTCCACCGCACTCACCATATTACTCCATGAAGCATCCCAGCTCGCCCATGAGCATGGACCCGCGCCACATGTCGACCTACTCGGACGGCAATGTGAGCTCTCTCAGCAGCCATCCTACAGACCCGCGGCATCTCCCATCTTACTCTGCCCTTAGGAGCGATTTGCACCCGG